GTTTGAGCGTACCATGTGTTAAGCCGTACATTGGGGATCCTTGGTCCAGATGTCTTATTTGATCGCTGGAGGGATGGGTCTTATCGGCCTTTGTTAAAGGGGGAATATAGCGCACTTGGAACAGGAAAAACCGAGAACATTCAGCACTGCATGTTCATCCACGGGAGCTTGAGAGCTACGCTGGTGGAAGGGATGTGGTGGCTGGGGCCAAGTCCCCTCTTGCAGACCTCATCCAATGGCACTAGCAATAACCGCCAGCCTCCAGTAACAGTGATTCGAGCGAGATGAGTCGTGCTCTGTCTGTTCTTTTGCGTTGAAAAGAGTACATACAACTGTAGGTAACAGTGTCAAGTAACGAAAAAAATGTATATTACAGGCTACTAAATAACGAAATTACAGCGAGATAGCCACGCAATCACCGAGCTGCTCTACCATATGTTCAGCCGTAACAAGATCCCTCCAGGACTGATATCTCATTTGATCAAGGTTGCTGCTGTAACGATTCGTTCATCCATTTAATTGCTCAACTTATGAGTTTTAGATTGTCAACGAAGCACAGCCGGTTTTCTGTAAGTATCCAGCAATGGTCGTGCTGGCCTTGTTCGCGAGGTTTGTTTTCTGAAATCTCATAATCTTTCTGGTGTCTTTGGTGAAACGTCATATGAACTCTCATTCATAGGGTTGATCCACGAACAATGCGCGAGTATCTTCGCGATTTCCAGAGATGTTTACGCTCATCGGAAGTACTTGTAGCAAGTGAAGCTCTTCATGCAATGTCCTACCTAATTCCCTCTGGAGAAGTCAGTTGAACTTTTTATTAACTAGGATCAGTATTTTGAAGAAACGATAATGCTTGAAAGTCATCTTAAGGGTAGTCTTGTTCGCCGTGGATGTTGGGGCGTGAGGGGGTGCGGTCTGCCATGACCCCGCTTGTTCTCCTCCCATTGTTGAGGGGGGGGGGAGCAAGCAACCGCACCAAAAAAGCCTCGCCTCTTGACACGCTCAGCATCCGCAGCGAACAAGACTGTATGCGGAGTTGTTGGCCCAAAATTCGACTCTAGCAAAGACTCGAACCTGCGCCCGACGCTTTCCGGGCCTGTGTGCTAACCACTGCACCTGCCAAACATTTCTTACAGTTCTCGAATCAGTGCGAGATTTGGTCATAGGAGGTGATTTAGGTGCCTCCTGATGAGGAAAATGAAGCGTATCTCTATCGACTGCGTGCGATCGACTCTCTTTTCCCAGATATGGAGAAGTTCTTGTTCAGAGGTAAGTGCACAATTTCAGAAGGGTTCGAATATGAGAAATAATTCTTATTTTCATGAGAAATAATTCTTATTTTCTCCATATTTAGTGATTCTATCGGACGATGACACCGTAGAGTCGAAATACTGGTATGTAAGCATGCGACATTGTTTGAAAGCACTCTTCACTCTTTCCTCTGATATAGACTACGCAGTTTCGAGGATACTCGGAAAGGTATTGTTTAGTAACTCTTTTCGGCAGAATGAGTTTCAGTACTTGTTCAGTACTTTTCTCGGACTCATTACTGTTTGTAGGGACTATGGTATGCTCATCGCGCCGCGCAGCTTCTGATTATGTACAGAGAAGAACCACCGAAAGAGCTCAATTCTGACTTTGTCAAAGCTCGAAGGTAGGCGCTTTCCTCATAGGACCAATCTTATGACCGTTGCTCAACTTCTTTATAACCTACTGTGACAATTCCAATTGATTTTGCAATACTGCAACTTCATATGAAGTCCACATTTCGGTGTTGGGGGATGGGAGTGAGCGCGAACCTTTACAGCTCATCTTGGACAACAGAAAGGGGCGTTTTGTGAGTAGTTGCGGATCCTGATCCCGTGCCAACTCTCCTTTACTGTTTATGTATGCCTTTCTTCCCTCTAGACCCTCTCTGCACTCGGTGCGTTCGCAGGAAACGCCCCCTCTGCTCCCGGATATAGGCTGTACTTATGAGCGCGGTAGCGTCAGCGTCTATGTAGTCGTTTGGCAGTCCAGGTGGAGAGGGATGAGAGACGCAGCGACCTTTTTTCTGTTATCCACGCGCTCTTGTGCACGTGCCATCTACGTCACTGCTCTGAAGAGGAAGCGTACACTCACGTTCCGAAATGGATCCTTCCCATGCCTTGCCGTATGTGAACTAAATGCGCGCGTCTGCAGTACCATGACAGTTTCACCGCTCGAAGAGTGCCCGAGAGGGGGGGGGCGGTAGTGGTACTCGAGTCCCGTCTCCATGCACAGCGCGCCCATCCTCAAGTGCAGCACCTGCGTCCACGTTGCAGGTGCTGCACGTTGAGGATGGGGCGCGTAACGTTTCGCAACGGAACCTTGCGTCCATACCAAGGTCCCGTTGCGAAAACGTTTCAGTGGTAGAGAACAACCAGAATGAGAGGGTGCAGACATAGCGTTAGGCCTGTGCCTGGTAGCTGGACGTGCGGCAGCGTGGGTGGAGCATGGAGATGGTTCCCGGGAATTACTGCCCTCCAACCCCGTTCCCGTGCATTTTTGACCCAAGAAAGTGGTATAATGCTGCAGCTGCGGGCCCATTCACCCACATTGGTAGGGATCAGAATCTTGTAAAGGCACAGTTTGTCACTAAGCGGCAGCTGTCACCGCGCTCACAGGTTAGCCTGTGGACACCCACCTTTCGGCGCCGGCATTTGGACCAAACTGTAATATGATGGAAGGCCAGCCGATTTAAAGAGCGCACTCTCTCTTTCCAATTTCGTACATTTCATTTCTGCAGGAAGTCGCTGCGTCCGATTGAACTTGTCATTGTTTTCAGAGAGTATTTCAATATTGCTTGGCAGCGGACAACAGAACGTGTTTTGATGCTGTTTGGTGAAGTAAGTATTTCATTGCAACCTCAAGGTCCACTGAAGTTTGTAAATCGTTGTTAAGGCTATCGAATGTTTGTTGATTCACGTTGACAACTACTTTCCGAAACTGCTCAAACGTGCAATGGCTTTGGATGAAGCAGCAGCGGAGGTTTGTAAGGCAGTATTTGCTTGTCCTATTGCTGATCATCTTGAACCTTTTTAGCAACTTGATGAACCTATCGAGCCGTACTCCGACTACGATAAGCCCCACTCTGGCGTCGAGATGGATTTCGCCTATCGAGAGGGACTCTTTGCGAGGACCATCGCTTCCTTAGCCAAATCGAGACCGGAAAGTGGTGACTCAGCAGATTCTGAAGTGGAGTCAGAAAGGACAGACAGGCCATCAGCTTCTGAAGAAGATGAGGACGAAGACGACTCCAACCGTGAGTTCCACCTTTCATTCTGTTACGGTGAACCTCATCGAGTATGGGCTCCTTAGTCAGCGTTCAGACTTCGCGATGAAGGCGCGTTGACGCGCTGTAACGCACCACAATTGCAACAGCGCACCAATCCTATGCACGGGAACGCAGACGCAAGCGGGAATCGAAGGTCTCTGCCGCTTGCGTTTTGAGAGAGTATAGGACAATGGGCGTGGGGGTAGGCGCTGCTTCCACACAGTCTGATACTCTCCCTTTCTTCTACACTCTCGCAGAGTCTTAGCGGCCAGTGCCGATCAATACCAGGCAACGTGGTTGGGCAATTCGTGCCCTCGTATTCCCCCTTACTCTCTCAATACGCTAAGCGGCCGTTCGTGGATCGATTCCCGTCCGCAGGTACATTCCCATCTATAGGGTTGGAGCGCTGTTGCAACTGCAGCGCGTTAACAGTGCGTCGTGAGCGCTACCTCAAAGTATAGGCTTTTGATTCGGAGCCTCGCAAGTGAGATATAGCATGTGAAAGTAAATTTATAATTCTGTTGAGGTCCTTCCACCGACGAGTTGATTCGTACTCGCACACAAGCTTTGTTTCAAACACGTTTGCTTCTCAAGACGGGTGTAATTGGTCGATGTCTGGCCCTGGTTGTGTTCTTTATCCGATGCTCAGGTATACCGGAGGAAATTCGGAAATGCAGCACTGAGAGCTTTTTCCAAGTTCCTCTTGATATGGTTAGTCTAAATTATTTCGTAATGATCACTTTTACAATTATGACTCCTTTTTCCTAGGTTTGCGATAGATTTTTACTCGAAACTTGTCCACAAGGTCAGATTTGGCTAGACATTTGTCTACGAGGGTAGCTTGACCTTCTGAAATCTGTTGTGAGGGTGATACTAGATCACTGGTATCCCTGATCAACATCCTATACTGGCCGTATATAAGACCAGTCATTGAGTATGGTTCATTCTGTTATTGCTCATCGCCTTCGGAATAAACCTATTCATCCTCGTCGTACGCGTTCTGCACATTCGAAGGATTACAACAGTGGCGATCAGAAGAACCACAAGGACTCAAGAATGGAAGCTCTCCCTGCACTCCTGCAAGCTATCCAGAAGCAGCTCGACATCCAGTCACGCCGAATGGATGAACAAGGAGCTGCAATCGTCAAGCTCATGGAGAAGATGTCAGCCGCCGGCAGTCCGCTCGTCAACAAGGGCACGTTGTTTTCGACTCGCTCTACCGCCGAATCGAGCCCTTCAACTACGATCCCGACAGAGACCGCACTTTCGACATATGGTTCAAGCGGTATCAGGACCTGTTCGAAAACGAGTGCAACGACCTCGACGAAAAGGACAGAACGCGACTGCTTGTTTCGCGCCTGGACGAAGACTATCATCGGATGCTGACCGCAGCCATTTCGCCGGAACTGTCATGGAGCGAAGTCCTGGAAATCCTGGAACGTCAATTCGGATCGGCCAAGACACTATTCCGTCGCCGTTTCGAATGCTTCAAGATGAGGTATGAAGGCCAAGAGTTCGAACAACTACGAGCTCTTGGTGACGCTTGAACCATATGTCCAAAGTGCGGGCTCTGTTGGGTCGTAGTTGAAGGGCTCGATTTGCGGTAGAGCGAGTCGAAATAACGTGCTTGTCCTTGCTGACGAGCGGACTGCCGGCGGCTGACATCTTCTCCATGAGCTTGACGATTGCAGCTCCTTGTTCGTCCATTCGGCGTGACGAAGTGTACGGAGGCCAAGCTGGATACCATCGACTTTGACGGCATACAATGTCTATTCTACGTCGCTGGATTCCAAGGACCAGACTTTGCGGAATACCGTACACGCCTGCTGAGGAAGCTGGACCAATCCGAGAAGGTCACACTGAAGGACCTCACAGCGGAGTGTCAGCTGATCAAGTCATACAAGGAGGATTCCCGTATGCTCGAAGGTGAGCCAGCGGTCAACCTCATCCGTCACAGAAGAAACTTCCGAAACAAGAAGTTCAAGCAGCTGAAACAGCAGAAATATCGGAAAGGTGCGTTCCCTTACCAATCTAGCCGGAAGGAGTCGAGATCACAACGTGGAACGACCGCCCACCATCGCCGGAAACGTAAGATTGAAAATGTCATAGCCGCTCTCAAAAGGGACAACCACCCGCAGCTAGATGTAAACATAAATGGTTATCCGACGCAACTTCTACTTGATACCGGCGCTGACCTCACCATTATCTCTGAAGCCAAATGGAAACTGGTCGGAATGCCCAACTTGCAGAAAACAGATGTTGTTGGATACACAGCAAACGGATCCCCTCTGAAGTTCCGTGGATGCTTCGAGACCGACTTCACGGTCAAGCAACTCATCTGGAAACTATTCCCCGGACGTGGAACATGCTTCGTCACCGAAGACGACTGCAACGTTTTTGGAATGCCGTGGATCAAACAACTTCCAGACCTTTACAGAGCAGTCAGAAAGTATCAAATCCATCAAACAATCATCGTGGACCGCGAAATTGCCTTCAGAGACGCCTTACCAACCTGAAGAAGAAATTCGCAAATGTATTGAACCTGGTCTCGGACAACACGGCGAAAGCAACTCTAAAGCTGAACCAGACGCCGTACCGCCGATACCATATGCCAACGTTGAAGCTGATGACAAGGAAATTGACCGTCTACTTGCAGAAGACGTGCTCTCCCCTGTCACCTACTCCAAATGGGCAGCACCTATCGTCGTAGTGAAGAAGGAAAAAATAACCGTACCTGTATTCAAGAAGAAACGCCCGGTACCATATGCCAACGTTGAAGCACTTGACAAGGAAATTGACCGTCTACTTGCAGAAGACGTGCTCTCCCCTGTCACCTACTCCAAATGGGCAGCACCTATCGTCGTAGTGAAGAAGGCAAACGGAACTATTCGCCTATGTGCCGACTATTCCACTGGCCTCAACGACGCGCTTATGCTGCACCAACACCCACTGCCCACACCTGAGGATATTTTCACAAAACTTGGAACAGTATGCACGCAGGTCGAGCCGATGCCTACTTATAAGTGGAAGTCGAGGACGCCTCAGAAGAACTTCTGACGATCACCGAGGACTATTTGCCTACAACTGTCTACCATTTGGAGATTGAATCCTGCCTCCGGCATCTTTCAGAAAATACGAGATTCCTATGATATTGGTTTATTGAATGGGTGTGGCGCTTACTTAGACGACGTAATCGTTACGGGTCGCCCTAAAGAAGAGCATATACGCCAACTTGGAAGCCATGTTCGAAAGAATCCACATGCAGTTTCCTGATGCCTCAGATCCATTACCTAGGCAATATCATCGATGCAATGGATGCCATCCTGACCCTGCGAAGACAGAGGTTATCAAAAAGATGCCACCTCCCAAGGATATCACACAAGTACGATCGTTTCTGGGATTACTCAACTACTATGGAGCCTTCGTCGAAGAAATGCGTCAACTTTGCGCCACTCAACAAATTGCTCAAGAAGGATATACCGTTCAACTGGTCACCAAACTGCCAACAAGCCTTCGATCGTGCCAAAGAGGTCCTGTCGTCAGATCTACTGCTCTCACTCAT